TTCTGTATGCTTAAAAATGTTTATAAGATGTTGGGGGAAAAGGCTGCAAGATCCCATATTAGAAAAACTTGTTTTCCAAACTTCTTTACTCATCAACAACAACAATAAACAAACAAACAAACAAAACCCACAAAAAACTCTTAAAGAAAATGAAATAAACATTACAGAGCATGCTCTGGAAAACAGCTCCTAGGTAGATTTATTTCTGACTCCATTGAATATTTAAGATAAGAATGGCATATTATTTATTCAAACATTCCAAAATGCTGTGGCTTAAAATGACAACTATTTATTATTTCTGTGAGATGGTTGGAGCTCAGCTTGGTAGTTCTTTTGCTGACCTCGCTTGGCATCTGAGCTCAGCTGGGGCTGGAACATTCAAGAAGACCTTTCATTCTTTAAGATCTCTCTGTGAGTGACTTTAGTCCTTTAGTGGACTCTTCTAGACTTCCTCAAAAGCATAATGGCTGGACTCCAAGAGGAGAAACCAGAATCTAATGTTTCTCTAAATGCTTGGGCTCAGATTTTCAGAATGTCACTTATTCTACATTCAATTATTAAAGGAAGACAAAAGGTCAATCCACATTCAAGAGAAGACAGACTTCACCTCCCAGCATGAGGAACAGCACGTATATATCTGGAGAACTGATGGTGGCCATCTCTGGAGGTATCTGTAAGCGCAAAATGATGGATGCAGACCTCAACAAATCAGGGAAGCCGCTTATTCATTGGCGGGCTCAGGCAACATACGGGTTCATTTCCTGGATGAGAAAATGGCTGTCAGTTACAGAGGGGATTTTAGTTTCATAGGATACAATGAGGGTGACTTAATCATTGGATACTTTGGACATACCATTCGGACAGGTCAAAAAGTTGTATAGGTTACACTCAGGAGAGCAGTTGAAAAGGTTGAAACTCATCTGGAGAAATGGCATTATGGGCCAGGCTCTGTGGGCAACAACCAAATAGACTCCATTTTACCCTGAGACTCCATGTCATGTAAGGAACGCGTCTCCTGTGAGAAAACTCCGCCTCTGCCACCCTGATCCTGCTTAGCACACCCTGCCTAGAAATTCAAATGTTTCTGTTCTTCTTATACAATGTAAAATTGTTCTCTTTTTGGTTCCCATTTTTTCTTGGACAATGTACCCTGTCAGAGAATTGTTGCCTAGACATTAGGAACCATTCTAATGGAACCAGAATTTCCATTCAAGGCAAAGATGTGTGTGCCTTACTAAAGATGCTTAAAATTTATAAATGAATAGATGGTTATTTATAATTCAAAGCAATCTTTTTTTGGAGGGAGTGGGTACCAGGGATTGAACTCAGGGGCACTCGACCACTGAGACACATCCCCAGGCCTATTTTGTATTTTTATTTAGAGACAGGTCTCACTGAATCGCTTAGCACCTCGCCATTGCTGAGGATGGCTTTGAACTCGAGATCCTCCTGTCTCAGTCTCCCGAGCTGCAGGGATTACAGGCATTTACCACCGTGCCTGGTGCCTGGTAGCAATCTTTGCTTTCTAGATCACAGAGATTTTCTAAATAGCAGGTTCCAAAATGTACTTGTAAGGGTGGAAAAACAGGATTTCCTACCCATCATAAAGTATCGTGGCTGACACCCCCGTACCCAAGGTCAGGTTAACAAGAGAAAAGCACAACAAATTTATTTGATCATAATTTCAAGTGGCACAGGAACTTTCAGAAATGAAGACTTAAAGGCCCAGGGTGAACTATCTGTTTTTCTGTTTAGGTTCAATAAATCATGGACAACTGTGTAGAAACTGATTGAACAAAAAGGTATGAAATAATAGTAATAGACTTTGGTATATGTTGGGGAGATAGCAAGGCCTGTTCAGATTCTTTCTGGTGTCTTTATGAAACATTACTTCCTTTCAAATATGGGGCATGACTTTTCTGGAATGGGGGTCTTAATATCTACAATCAAAACAAGGTAAGTAGTGAGAGTTTCTTTTATAACTCTTACTCCAAAAAGTGTGTGTGTGTGTGTGTGTGTGATTAGAGTAATATTTTTAGGTTTTATGGCTGGCTTCGGGGGAAAAATTTTTCTAATTTCTATGGCTTGCCTCAGGGAAGAATAGGGGCGAAATGGTTGGGGGTAGGGTGGGGATGAGACAAACTTTGCTTCTGATGTTACCAAACTCAGGTCCTGCTGCTCACTACTCAAAAGTAAATACTCAGGCTGGGATTGTGGCTCAGTGTAGAGTGCTTGCCTGGCACATGTGAGGCACTAGGTTCTATCCTCAGCACCACATTAAAAAAATAAATAAAATAAAGGTAGTGTATCCATCTACAACTAAAAAAAAAGGCAAGGCCAGGCATAGGAGTGCACGCAGTTTGGGAAGCTGAGATAAGAGGATTGAGGGTTCAAAGCCAGCCTCCACAAAAACTGGCACTAAACAACTCAGTGAGACTCTGACTCTAGATAAAATTCAAAATAGGACCGGGGATGTGGCTCAGTGCCCCTGAGTTTAATCCCAGGTACCACCCCCCCCCCCAAAAAAAAAGTCAATACTCATGAGACGGAGTTTGTGGAAAGGAAATCAAGTTTATTCAAGGGCCAGCACCCTGAAAGATGGAAGAGGCAATAATCCTCAAAGCTCCATCTTGAGGACTTAGGCAAATGAAAGGGCTTCTATGAGGAAGAAAAGAAGGTTTCTCTTTAGAATTTAAAATGCTATACAAAAGGAAGGGATGCAACCTTGTAAAAAGCAAAGGACAACTTGCAAAGAGAGTGGCGACTGTTACACTGAGGTCTCCACTTTAGGGTGTCATTTTCTAAGCTCCAAGACACTAGTGTTGGCTTTAGGGTATAGTGGAAAGTATTCTGAATTTAAGAGTCAGGAAACGCAGGCGATTGTCCTGACTGCTACTTACCAGCTAGATGCAAAATTGACCTTGGAACCTATTTGTAAAGCAGGATTAATAGTAACTCCTCACTAAATTTTATTTAGTGCCAAAAAAAGAGACAGAGATCTCTCTGATTCCCAGAAGAACAGTCTCCAAAGGAATTGGAACTGGATTCAAAGCAGCTCTGAGGAACCCTCAGCAGGACTTCATGGATCTTCACTCTAATACCTGCCATTGATGTAATTTTGGCTGCCCTATGCAATACCGCTCCACAGTGACTGTTTCCTGTCGTGAACTATAGTCTTCCTCTCTGCCCTTGGTACTTTCTCGTTTATTATATATTTTTATGATTTCTCATCATTTTAGCCTGCCATGAACTACCATGGCCCTACCTCATTGTCTAGACCAGGGACTAGCAAACTTTTAGCCAAATGTGGCCAAGTATGGCCTGCCATCTGTTTTTGTAAATAAAGTTTGGTTGGAATGCAGTCATACTCAAAAATTCATTAATGTATTGTCTGTGGACCCTTTGGGCTACAATGGCAGCATTGAGTAGTGGTAACAGCCCTGCACAGTTCACAAAACTTATGTGACTCTTTTTTTTTTTTTTTTAATTTTTTATTGTGGGTTGTTCAAAACATTACAAATTTCTTGACATATCATATTCCACACTTTGATTCACGTGGGTTGTGAACTCCCACCTTCACCCCATACACAGATTGCAGAATCACATCATTATGTGACTCTTGATCTAGACTATTTCATGGCCCTTTTCTCTAGCATTCTTTTAGTTTTGTTTTCATTGATGTGTGTGTGTGTGTGTGTGTGTTCGTGTGGTGCTGGGGTTCAAACTAGGATTTCATACAGGTGGGCAAGTACTCTATTACTGAGCTACACCCCCAACCCCTCACTGATATATTCTTGAAGTATTTCTTAGTTCAAGTTCTTAGAAGAGAGAGAAGCAATATGGTTACCCTCTTTTCATGCAGGCCAGTTTATGGTATGTTCCCAGCTTTGGAGAGGCTGAATATGGGTTGCATGTCCTTTTCCACCTTGTTCAATTATTGTAGCTGAAGAGATATAGGTAATACATAGTCAGTAAATCAGATCTGCCTTAGAAGGAGGGACTGGGGTATAGTGGGCACTATGATCAACATGGTAACCCAAAGTTAAATTAGATAATATTTGTAAAGTTATATGGTAATATGCTCCAATCATATATCTTTATAAAGTGTTAAAAGTACTTGCCAAGTATGAAATGAAATATAGTACCCTTGAAATTAATAATATAAATCTGTGACAAAATGTGATACAACATAAGACTTCAACTCACATATGCCCTGCACTACTGCATAAAACTGGACATAATATTACAGTGCTGTTATAACCACAGACAAAAAATACCATGAATATTTCCCATCAGATAAAATGCAGGTGAAGAAAAGCAGGCCCAGATGAGCCTTAGTGTTAAGATAGCATGAGTTTGGGCACTACTTAGATGCTAATAACCCTTGTTTTTCTAATTTTGGAAAACAAACCAACTAACCAGTTCATCCATGAAAATTATGAACTTTCTCAATGAATAACTACTGTAAACACAGAGTTCTGTAATGACCAGTATTTTAATAGGCTCTTCTTCCATGATTTTCCAACTTACCCTGCATCTGTGTGATTGCCTACCCTATAGCACTCTTCTATATGTAGTGTGGTCCAATTCAGAACCTATATGGAGGGGACACCATAGTCGGATGGGTATTTGTGTGGTACTGGGGATTGATACCAGGGTTGCTATACCACTGATCTACACCTCTGATCTTTTTTTTTTTTTTTTTAATTTCTGAGATATCTTGCTGTGTTGCCTGGGTTGGCCTGGAACTTGAAATCCTCCTGCTGCAGCTTCCTGATTAGCTGGGATTACAGGTGTGTGCTACTGCACCCAGCGCCTTGACACTTTTGAAAGGGTCCTCTGTGAAGGGATGATACCTCAAGTGTACTTTACAGAGAAATATGACAGCATTTTCAATAAAAGTACTTAAAAATAACCCCTCACTGAAGAAACATGGGAAAGAAACTTTCAAATAAAGCCTGTGCCTTCTACCATGGAAAAAAACAGAGAGCAAACACATAGAATTTCCAAAATACCTTTTATTACTATATAGAAAGTCAAGAAAAAATAGATGCATACTTTTCCCACAAATTTATAAAATGTTCAAAATAGTTCATCTTTTTCAATAAATGTGCAAAGATAAAAAGACAATTTAAAAGATAGAAATTTTCTTTTCCACTTAAAAGTTTTCAGGTACCTTATTTTCTTTCTCTAAATGTTCCTATGTATAAGACCTAGTAGTTACAGTTTTCTGTTGGCATTATCCAAAAAAGGACACATCAAGATAAAAATTCTATCACATTACAACAAAACTGACATAAGGTTTTACTCCTTCTTTTGCACTTTAAATTTGTCGGTTGTGATCAGTCAGTATGATGCTGGAATTTCCAACCCAGCAGGAAAAAGAGCTTAATTAAAAATGAGACATACAATTTATCTTGTCCTTTAGAAAACAAACCACTTGTCAGTACTCCTTAAAAAGTGCAATTGCCTCCTTTGTCATTTCATTGCAAGGTCTGAGATGTGGTTTCTGAACAGCACAGCTTAAATGAAATCACATAAGTAAAGGGAAGAAAGCACTTCAGAGGGTGGATTCAGTTTGACACAAGCATAGGAAGCCGAACACTTTTGATGACATTAATTCAATAAAGTATATTCATTCGAGTTTTTCAATAAACCCTTCGAAAGAAAAGGCTTTCTTTCGTGTTGATTTAGGTGAGTGCTAAAATAAGGCTTTCTCTTTTGCAATTAGATTATGGGGTAAGTCAAGCCAGATTATCTCAGCAGATGATGTAAGCTATAATTATTTTGGGAAGTTTCAATCAGTGTTTTGGAATTGATACCTGAAGCTTTCTTCTCCCCTATTCTTTGTGAGCTTTTTAATATGATATTTTTGGTGGAGATGCTTTAGGTAGGAAATATCAGCTTTTGAAAGATAAAGGCGCAATTATCCTTAGAATAAAAAGCCCATTAAAAGAAGACTCTCAAACAGAAAAGTTTTCTAGATATATTTTACTACATATCCTTTTCATAAAGGCTGAAAATGAAAGAAAAGAAGTCCTTATAATATCTAAGATTACCCTCACATTAGCCCAATTGAGAGAAAATAAAAGGTTGAGATGAAGGATGATCAAATACTTTGCAATGGAGCTATTCTAGTGCTAAATAATTAGCTGTGCACTGATCACCTCTTTCTTGGCCTATATAAAAAGAAATGGTAGCCTCACTTCTTGGGATACAGTCACCATCCCTCCTCCTCGAAATAAGCTTGGAATTTGGGGTGCCTACCTGTAATAAAACATCTATTTATCAAACTGTGTGTGTGACATGCAATTACTCCTTCCACTTAGCACCCATACTAAATTTAATTGTGCTACCATGTTCTAGGCTTTGGGCTGAGCATTGCAGATCCTTCTGACACCATTAACAATTTAGGAAATAGAATTAACTGAATAAGAGGAAAACAGTGCTTTAGCAAGGAAATCTTGAATGATTATCCATGAAATTTAAGGAATATGATAGAGTCTAACTTGTATTCAGTCTTTGGAAGTAATTACCAATTATATAAAAGAAGTCCATTAAGCACCAAAAACGTTAAATGTATTTGGTATAAACTATAAGGTTTTTATACACATTAAAATACATACATACATATATAAGTGTATATATATATTTTTAAATTTTATTTATTTATTTATTTTAAGAGACAGGGTCTCATTCTGTTGACCAGGATGCCCCCAAACTTCTGAGCTCAAAGGATTCTCCTGCCTCAGCCTCCCAAACAGCTGGGACTAGAGGTGTATGCCACCACACAGAATTCTAAAATGCTTCAACTTAAGACTGCAGGAAAGCCAAAAGTCAACCAAAACCCCAAAAAACATCATATAAGCATAGGTACTACTCTAGGTTTTAAGTCAGTTTAGAGCCTAGATAGAGGCCTCCATGCATAAAAAGTTATCATCTCTAAGTCTCAATTCATTACTAAGAACCCAAAGCTCAAAACAGCCCCTGAAGCTCCATGAAAATCAGGAAGGATCTTGGCTTTTGCCCCAGCAAAGGGCAGTCCATGAGAAAGGTCTCTCCAAACACAAAGTTGTTCAGCAGCTAAGATCCTGAAGAACGAATATTGCAATTAATTCATCAAATTTGCAAGCTACATATGTTTTTGCTCAAAGCTCTCTGTTGCCAAGATACAATTTTAAGATTAAAAGGGCATCGAGGCAGGTTAAGACTTGTTGGCAGCAGCAGAGGCTCCCATCTATGTTCAGAAATGGGAGGCCCCTATTCTTTGGCTATCTGGGGGATCACTGGGAGACGGCCACAAAGAAACACCCCTTTAGCCCCACTCCAGTCCACTTCAGCAACTGAGGTTTATTCAGGGGTACAAATTAGTATTAAACAGAAAAGTAGCACAGTGAAGTGACTGGGATCCCAGGCTGAGGAGCTGGCCTGCCAGGGTTTGAATGGCAGTTGCACTGTCATGTTGAGGCATGTTATTAACATCTCCAGGCTTCAGATGTCTGACCTGTAAAATGGGGAAATAACCACCCCATAAGGTCTGAATGGGAGCTGAGGGAGCTTAGAAGAGCATCTAGCACATAGTGTCAGGTAAGTACTTTAAACAATAAAAACAAACTTAGGAAAAGACGCTCTTTGAGATTTGTAGAGCAGTTTATGCTACTTAAGCATTCAGGCATATTTTTTTTTTTTTTCTAAGAGGTGAATCTGGGGAAGTCTAGGACTGAAGCTGAGTTCTGGAAAATCTTCCAAGTCTGACCAGAAAAGATCTCTTCAACTACCTATGGTCCATTGACTGCTCCAAAATGCCCTAATAAAATGCTTGTATCCAGGGCCAACATAAGCCCAAACCAACTGGAGAGGGAGCAGAAGGCTGCCAGGGGAGAAGGGAATTAATAATTTTCCTAAGGTTCCCCCAACCATACTCTTGTCATGACATCTGTGTAGCATAATGGTCTAAACCCCGTTTATTTTAAAATTTTAGGACTCGTACTATCTACTTCTGAAATCACTGGGCTCCCAGGATTAACGGGAAATGACAGTGTGACAAGAGGCTAGGGAAGCTGCCAGTTTATCCAATCAATCAATCAACCGATAAGACACATTTTGAGCATCTGTTCTGTGCAAGATGTTGCACCAATACTTTGGTCCTCAGCAAGCAAAAGGTACAACAAATACAAATTTTATCAGCTATTATTATATTGATCAAGTCCTTTCCAATTCAGGAATGTTAATAGGCCTCAATCCACACAGACTGTTTTCAAGAAACCCTCCTTGATGGTTACAACAAATATCGACACTCTGTAGCTCAATTATCTCATGGCTAAGTAGGAGAAGCTAAATTGTAGAGCTGGTTTTTAAAGTGGAAGCTATACTTCTGCACCTCTATAAAATTTTACATGGTGGACCTCTGGCCAACATCATCCAGGCCGGAGTTTCTTTTCCTGGTCGCTCCTTCATTGTTTAACTCTGAATCTGATCTGTCTGTGTTGTTGCCAGAGCTTATTGCTACATCACCTTCCATTCTCTCTGTAGTGTCACAATTTGATTTAAGAAGAGTAGAATCTGGTTCTTTAGGACGTTTCCATTGTGGTCTTGAGACGATCCAAAAAATGAGGGCCCCAAACAACAGAATCAGAAGGCCGAGGGTGTTTACAAAAACACCTTCTGGTGGGAATGAATGGTATGCAGGATCTTTCCTATGAAAAAACAGAACATGTCCAATTACAAATAGGGTTCTACAGCAACATACAACATAGTGTTGAATTCATCTGTTCAAAATGCACACTGGTGTGGCTTTAATGTAAATTCCCTTAACACTTGATATTAAGGAGAAATTTAAGTCATGCTATAACTCACACAATAAAATATTATAAAATTGTCCAAAACCCCAAGAATGAATATGGCACCTAGAATATCTGTATCACTTAAAAATTGAAAAAGATGAAATGAAAATGTGTATACACTGTAATTGTACTAACATGAAAATATGCACATAAAAAATCTGAAAGGGAATCCATAACTTTAATAGTTGTTTTGCGGGTGATCCTTCAAAACTTTTAGTCATTTGTTCCATGTATAATACAAATTATTTTTTGTTTTGTTTTTTAAATATTTCTTTTTAGTTGTTGATGGGCCTTTATTTATTTATTTTTTTATTTATACATGGTGTTGAGAATTGAACCCAGTGCCTCAGACATGCCAGGCAAGTGCGTCTACATGCTAGCCACTGAGCTACAACCTCAGCCCCACAAGTTATTTTTAACATAAACATTTTAAGCTTAAAATTTTTGTTTAAAAAACTGTTACATTGGGCTGGGCTGTGGCTCAGTGGTATAGCACTTGCCTAGCATGTGTGAGGCACTTGGTTTGATTCTCAGCACTGCATATAAATGAAAAAAAAAAAATTTAAAAAAGGTCCATTAACAACTTTTATTTCAGGCCCAAGGGAGGAAGCTAATGACCTGTAGTTACTTTGCTACTGTTTTCCAAAAACAATGACTTCCTTTAGATAGCCTTGGAATTCCTTCCTTAGAAATTGAAGCAATGGAGCCAGGGCAGGGCGGGTCTGGCCAGTTCAGGAGCACAACAACACTCTCCAGGGCAAGTTTGCTTTTATTAAGAAGTTGCAGAGGCACCTTAAAGGATGGTGGGCAAACAGTTGGGGTGGGGGGAGTTTGAAAGATCCCAGGTATGAATGAAAGAGACCTCTGTGCCTCTGCCTCTCCCTGGTATCTCATCTGTGTCCCAGGGCATGTAATAAAAACTAAGGTGTATAGTGTCCAAAAAAAAAAAATTATGAAACTGTGTTATTATGACCATTTTACAGACAAAAAAGTTGATAGTTCTCTGTTTCTATCTTCTATGTTAGAGACCCCAGGTCTAACGGGGGAACACCTGAAGAATGGAGGCAGAGGATGGGTTCAAAGCCCTAGAACACTGTTAATCAACTTATGAGTAATACACACAGTCATAATAGGATAATGATAAAAAGTGCCTTTGAGGCTGATATGCACGTTTTAATTTTTACCTAATACTAAATGCCTGAACGTGTTAGAAAATTGTTCAGAGGATTATATATATATACATACACACACATATATACACACACACATATATGGGTGTATATATATTTATATTTATCTGTTACATTTACATTACATTTCCAGTGAACAAGTATTTAACTTTTTAAAGCTTATGTATTACAATTAGGAAGACTGTACAACTTACAGGACAAAAATTAGTTTCTCTGTCACTCCCATAAGGGCCGTCGCAATCGTTGTTCCAAAGAGGAAAAGTCCAAAATAAACATGTATGGGCATGATAAATTCTCGGAGAGAAGGTGGAGCCCAAGGAAGCAGAAAGATGAAAAAACCTGTGAAAAGCTAAACACCAAAAAGTACAAAGGTTATTGTTTAATTTAAGTTTTAATTAATTTGAAGTTATTCTAAAAGCAATTTGTAAAAAATGGGAAAAAAAACTTTTCCATAGAACCTGGGGTGAAAAAAATGAAAAACAGAACACAATAGGACATATAATTCAGTTAGTTCAATCTAAAAAGCTATGTGGAAACAAGATGACCATTTTTTCGTGAGGAAAAAATGAATTCTATAGGACAATTCTCTCCATTTCCTTGATAATTAAATCCCTAGTGAGAATCTTCTTTGCAGAGAAGACAGCAAAATTCCTATATAAATTGAAGTCTGTTGGACTTCCAGAGTTTTGTTTTGTTGCCCCCCCATACCCTGCCCAGTAAGTATTTTCTCAACAAGAAAATAAAGATGACTTAGTGGCTAACAGATTACTGAGTTTAAAGACTTTTTTTAAAAAAAACAAAACAAAACAAAACAAAAATAACAACAACAACAACAACAAAAAACAAGTACTGAGTTAGAATCTACCAGCCTGACAAAACAACTCTGAAAAAAATAGAAAAATGAGGAGAAAATTACTAACATCATTCACTGCTCCACCCTCTGGGTTAGAGATCCAACGTCTAAGGGGGAAACACCAGAAGATTGGAGGAAGAGGATGGGTCCAAAGCCCTAGAACACTGTTAGAATCAGCTTATGTGTAATACACACAGTTATGATACAATAGTGATCAAAAGTGCCTTTGATGCTGGTGTGCACGTTTTATTTTTCACCTAATACTGAAAATGCTTGAATGTGTTAGAAAATGGTTCAGAGGATTTCCCCCTTGACAGTTCAAAATATTCCTAATTCTTCCTCAGTGAACGTCAGTAATTCTATCAGTGTCTAGGGGCAAACTTCCTGACATTCATGTTGTACTTTCAATATGAAAATGTGGCCCAGGTCAATGACTGCCTGGGATTTAGCACAAATATATTTCTGTAAAGGCATTCTATGCCTTCCTATGGCTTACCTATAGAAAAACGTTATTTTTCATATTCTTGCTCTCTTGACCATTTTTTAAAGATCCTTATTGTTTTTTTCTCATTTCCTTCATAATTTATCATGCATGTCTTTTGTAATCCTGTATGGCTCAATGATTTAAGTAGGTGAGAAAGCAATTAAGTCGTATTTTCACCATTGAAGAAATTCTTCAACAAAAGAGAATTACTTCTAAAAGGAAAGGGAAAACCTTACGGAATGCTTGGCTTTGATTAAGTGTTTCAAGTAGTGCAATGATGCAAACTTACAATTTGTAATAATTTATAATAATCAGACTTTATTTCCTTTTAACCATTTTAGTCTTACCACCTTACAAATGAAGAGGGCAACTTATAACCTAGTGGACTGAAAATTACAAGACCCTTCGTCCCTAAGTCAGAGGTTCTTAAAATGTGATTCCCAGAAAACATGCATCAGAAACACTTAAGGTATGAATTTAAGAAGATGCCGAGTCACATCCAGACATGCAAATCAGAGTTTCTGGATTAGGGCCAGGAATATTCATTTTTAATAGAATGCCCAGATATTTCTTATACATATTGAAATCAGAAGATCACTACTTTTGATTCACTCAAATTATTTCTGATAAAGGTGAACTGAAAATCCCCCCAACAGGAGGCAGTGGAATCCTCTATTACCCACAGTCTAAGAAGAATCATTCAGTACCAACGATGTGTAAGAGCAGAGGTAGTTTAAAGAACCAAAAGTGCTCCACTGTTTAGGAACCATCACCAGCAGGAAGCTGTTCTTCACCATAATGGAAGTTCTTAAGAGAACTAAGGCAATATAAAAGTTCATAACAAGTTATTACTTGGAGCTGGGCATGGTGGTGCATACCTATAATCCTAGCAACTCAGGAGGCTGAGGCAGAAGAACCAAAGTTCAGTGCCAACATAGTGAGACACTATTTCAAAATAAAACACAAAAAGGTCTGAGGTTCAATGCCCAGTACTGAAAAAAAAAGTTATTACTTAAAGATGAAAGTGAAAATTTGTACAATCCTAATTATGTTTTAAAATTCAATATCTATACCCATAGGTACAATGAAAAAAATTAAACCAAAATGTAACACTGTCTCTCAATGTGATATTTAATCTTGATTTTTTCTTTACAGAGTCCTCTGTTTCATAAAATTTTAAATTAATGTGTACTACATCATAGAGCTTTTTTTAAAAAAAATTTATTTTTTTAGTTGTAGATGGACACAATACCTTTATTTTATTTTTTTATGTGGTGCTGGGGATTGAACCCAGTGCCTTATGCATGCTAGGCAAGTGCTCTACCTCTGAGCCACAACCCCGGCCCTGAATGTGTACTACTTTTATAATCAGAATTATAAAACTTATTTTTAAAGTTTTTATCTTAAATATTTAGATACTTGGGCTTTCTCAGTTAATTATTACTGTCTTTACAGATCTAAATATATTTTACTACAACAGTTTTATTACAAAAACAGACTATTTTTTTTAAGTGTGTGTAGCTAGGTGCTGTGATGCACACCTGTAATCCCAGCTACTCTGGAGGTTGAGGGGAGAGGATAGCAAGTTCAAGGTCAGCCTAGAAAACTTATTGAGAGCCTATCTCAAAATAAAAAATAAAAAGGGTTGGGATGTAGCTCAATGATAGAGCATGGCTCTGAGCTAAATCCCCATTACTATTTTTTTAAAAAAAGTGTGTATAAACCTTGAAACCTAACTTTTATTGCAAAAGTCATTAATGGGAGCAGGAAATATCCACTTGGCTAGTTTTTTTGTTTGCTTGTTTGTTTTTTTAGGTATGGTTTACCTTTTTTTTGAATGGGGGAGAGTAGAGGTAGTTTAAAGAACCAAGTCAATTACAGATTATGTGGAAGCTCCTCCCAACTCTCCTTCATCCTTCTGCTATGCCACATTCAGTACCCATTCCTTCATTCTACATACATTTTGAAACCTTTGCTATAAGCCAGATGTTGCTCTGAGTGCTGCGAATGCTATTGAAGACGGACAAGCTACTGTATTCCAGGAACTCACATTTGTTTTCATTGGGATTACTGAAACATCTAACCTTTTAACTATGAGCAAGCTTTTCTTTTAGGCCAACTGTTCTCAAACATTAGCAAGCATCTGAATCACCTGGTAGACTTATTATAGTGCATAATTTGGGGCCCCACCCCCAGAGTTTCTGATTGAGTAGTTCTAGAGTAGAAGCTGAGACTCTATGTGTCTAATTTTCCTGTTGATGCTAATGTTGCTGTCCTAGAAACCATACTTTGAAAAATTCTGTCCTAGGTCATTTCCAAGTTGTGTTCTTCATATGTAAGAAAAAAATGGCACTTGTCTTCCAGGGATTGAAAAAAATCTAATGAATAGCAACTAGAATATGTCCATAGGTTTTTATAAAAGGTATAACAACACTCAAACCAGTCATTGAGTCTCCTGCCCACATCCTGCATCTCCCTGCTACATCCACCCAGGCAATACCCCACTCTGGCTTAGCCATCTTCACCACTCCTCCTAGCCTGTCAGGTATTACTGGAGTAAGTCACAATTAAGGAGACTGGCATCACTATAAAGAGATAATTATGAGCAGTTGGACGCTGCTCAACAAACCTTTTATTGTCTGATTTATCAGCTGACTCCCCATTTTCCCCTATTCTCAAATTCTGACTCTCCAGAGTGCCTCTCCCCAATATGGTACTGGGGATTGAATCCAGGGGCACTCAATCACTGAATTACACCTCTAGCTTTTTATATTTCTTATTTTGAGACAGGGTCTTGCTAAATTGCCCAGACTGATCCTGAACTTGGGATCCTCCTGCCTCAGCCTCCCAAGTAGCTGGGATTACAAGAGTGTGCTATTGTGCACAGCCAGTAGAAAATTTTATGACCTCCACACTGAAAAAATAAAGGTAGCTGGCATGGTGGTACATACCTCCCAGCGGCTCAGGAGGCTGAGGCAAGAGGATCAAAACCAGTCTCAGCAAAAGCACAGAGCTAAGCAACACAGTGAGACCCTGTCTCTAAATAAAATACAAATTAGGGCTTGGGAATGTGGTTCAGTGGTCGAGTGCCCCTGAGTTCAATCCCTGGTACCTCCCCCCCTCCAAAAAAAAAAAAAAAAACAGAGGCAACTTCAGAGAAAAGCCTCAACATCCTGCGGCCAAACCAAACCCCATTCTTTTTTCAATTACAATGGAGTTGGTGTCAGACCTTTAATTTTCCAGCTGTCTCTGCAACCTGCTTCCTTAAGATCTATTTATAAATTATTATGTCTCTTCATCATTCACAAATTCTCCTTCTTTACAGGTGTCACCCTGTCATCATTTCACATGCCCAAGTTTCTCATAATGAAAAGTAGACATTTAAAAAAAATTTCCTCTCTTCCCTCCCTGCTTATTCAAATCATTTGACAGAGTGAACTATTTCTTTACCTTCATTCCCTCTTCAACCATTGCAATCTGGCTTCTGCACTCCAAATAACTTGGTTTCCAAGCTGTTCAGTGACTTTTGTTGTTGTTATTTTTAATTATACATGACAGTAGAGTCAATTTTGTCATATTTATACAAATATGGAGTATATCTTATTCTAATTAGGATGCCCATCTTGTGCTTGTACATGATGTAGAGATTCACTGTGGTGTATTCATATATGTACACAGGAAAGTTATGTCATAGTCATTCCTCTGTCTTTCCTAATCCTCTCCCCCTCCCTTCCCTTCATTCCCCTTTGTCTAATCCACTGAACTTCTATTCTTCACCCATTCCCATTGTTGTGTATTAGCATCCACATATAACAGAGAACATTCGACCTTTGGTTTTTTGGAGATTGGCTTGTTTCACTTAGCATGATAGTCTCCACATCCATCCATTTAATGGCAAATTTCCTAAATGGGAAATTGTCAGACCCTCTTTACATTGGACACTTCTCAAGCCCTTCCATCCCCTTTTCATCCACCCATCTGCTGAAATCTGTTAATGACTCTCATTCTTCATCTCATTTACTTTTCAAATCTACCTTTTAAAATTCTACCTCCTCAATACCTTTAGAATCTATCCAATCTGATTCACTGCCACTACTACTCCTCGAGGCCAACACCACTTCTCATCAGAACCTCTGTAAACACCTTCAAGCTAGATTCTCTGTATTAATCCTGCCCTAGACTCCAATTCATGTTCTGTACTCCACTCTGGGCAGCCTGGTGTCCTTCCTATTCCTCAAACAAAGCAAAACTTTTCTCACATTTATTTTATGCACCTGGGAGAGTCTGCCTTTTCAACATCAGGCTAACAACTTCAGATCTTGGTGTAACTTCCTGTGTCTCCTTTATCATAAGAGAGCTCTTCCAGAACACTCCATACCCAGCATATCAATTACCTGTCTATCCCTGCAAGCTTTCTAAGGGCAGAGAGCATGTCTCTTTGAGCCTATGTTTGACTTGTGGAACAATGTATCTCCCACACTTAGCAAAGTATCTGGCACAGATATACAACTGTTGAATAAATAAATGAATTTGTGAATAAAATTTCATTGACAGAAAATACATGTTCTCAAACCATGAAAGTACTTATGTCATCTTCAGGTCACAAAGGAGCCTCCCACAAGATTTATACTCCTAATGACAACAGAGCTAACTTGTATTTTTCCAGTGTGCTAAGCCCTGGGTGGAGCCTTTTCATGCATTATTTGGCTCTAATTCTTATGATTTTGTGAAGTATCATGAACCTTGATTTATACATGAACAATTTCCAGAGAAATTAAATAACTTGTTCAGGGTCACCAGCTATCAAATGGATGGAACTTATTCAAAACTGAGGTCTCCCTAATTGCAAATCCTGTGTTCTTAAACAGTACCTATTCTCTGGATCTGAGCAAGGAAAAGCTAGGAGCCAGCATTCCTCCCTCAAAACAAAAGCCAAGAAGTTGTGAAACTATTTTTCTGAGAAGTCCTGTGAGCACAAAGAAAACAAGAGATAACAATCCAGAATCAATTAAAAAAGGGATTCTTGGGACAATTAAAGATGTTTGTAATTTACCAATAAAATTAGAATCTATTGATGTAATCAACTATATTAACAGATTAAAAAAGAGAAGCCATATTCATCTCAAGGGACACAGAAAAAGCATTCAATAAAATTTCACATCCACTCGTGACTTAAAAATAAAACATTTTTATAAAGATAGGAGGCAATGTGAAGCACCTAAACTCAATAGAACATTTGCAACATTCTTTTTTTAAAAAAAAAGTTGGGCAAGATGGTGTCCACCTGTTACCCCAGCAGCTCAGGAGGCAGGAGGGTCACAAGTTCAAAACCAGCTTTAGCAAAATAGAAAAACAAAAAGTGGGTGAGGGATGTAGTCCAGTGGTTAAATACCTGGTACCAAAAAAAAAAAAAAGAAGAAAGAAAGGAAAACCAGGAAATGAAGAAAAAAACATCAGGAGTCTGACTACCCCCAGGGGTTAGAATCCACACAAGAAATATGGGTTTGGGTACAGTTGGATAGCTGTGTGGGAGTTCTACATTTTCTACATTAGGTTATATATAAATCATGGAAGTTAATTTTACTATAATGACTTATAAATTCCATATACACATAACAATTTGGTTTTGTTTAATGTCCCAGAGGCTAAATCTCAAGTAGAAAAGAATTCTGTGCTTGAACTGATTTCAGTCCATTGAGGATGGGTGAAGAGCTTTCAACTGTTTGGGGTTGTATTGTCCTAATGTTTACCTCCTTCCATTTTGTTTTTATTGAAACAACCCTGACACTGTCTTAATTCAGCAGGTAAATCTTGATTTTAGCTTAGGGGCCAACCCAAACCCCCAACAGTGCTAAATAAAGTGAGAGGATTCAATCTTGAAAATCTCTCTCCATCTTTTCTTACTCCATGAAGGTTCTTACTCAAGTTGGGCTGAGGGGGTGCAAACTGACCTTACAAACTCCGATAAATGGTCTCAGGTGATTATACTTTGCAATTGCAGTGCACAGCAGTGTGGCTCTGACAGCCTCAAGACTACTGGTAGTTCCCAAAAAGGGGGGCTTCCTGTTCTCCACCCACAAAGGGCAGCGCAGGAACCACCATCTGGAGAGAATGTTTATTCACTCAGAAAGTGAAAGTGCTTTCTCTTTTTACTTTTAAGAAATCGGACAGAAAAACATCTCCTGTATTTTGCAGTGAACAACATGGAGGCAAGAATCTTTGCTTAGCTCGGATCAGAAATGAAGAAAACAAGCTTTGTGATGATTTCTCTTTACAGGGAAAAGAAATGTTCTTTCACCTCATTTCCACCTGAGCATCTGGGTGGAAATTAGTAGTGTTGGCCCTACAGGGATGGGAGATCTGTTGCTCCTATGGACAGGCAATGCAAACAACTTAAAAACATTTTTTATACAACAAAGGAATAAAGCTGGAATGTAACCATCCTTCCTAGAAACAGACTATAGAGCTGTTCACCTCATTCCTGAATGAACGACCAGAAGTGATCAAGCACAGGGTCCACTAACTTGCCCAGAGTGACATCAAACTTGAGATCCTCCCACTTCAGCCTCCCCAGTAGCTGGGATTACAGGTGTACACTACTGTACCCTGCTTCCTGCTATTTTCTTTCAATGTCTTGAAGGAATAGTTTACGTATAGTACGTATAGTTTCCAAAAGTAAATAAATAAACACATTTAAACTTGTATTCCTCCAAGAGCCATTTTAGTTAAGGCCCATGAATTTTGGAATAAGCATTCTCATTTTTTATTAATTCCTAAATATTCCTTAATTTTATATATTAAGATACAGAGCAGAGTATAATTGATTTTAGAGACTCCTAATTAAAAGACATACCTGGTATAGAAAAATATTTTATTACATATCTATTTATTCACTTTATTACTTATTTATTATTATTATTATTATTATGCAAGAAATAGCTGTGACAGAGAAATATTAGAAGTTACAGAAAGTAATAAGAAAAATAATCACTGGAATGCAGCCACTTCTGACACATACCTTTTCAGATATCCTGAGATGCCTTGGTACAGAACTAATTCAGTAAAGGCATTTTATTTAGTCCATTGTAACTACTGAACTTGGAAGCCCAGAGCCAGTGTACTTTTATGTACAAAGCAGTCTTTTACAATTTGTGTGATCAGGCAAGTAGTATAAAAATTTGTAGTATATGAAGACCTTCACAGGAAGCCATGTGAAAATCTGGATGGTTTCTATTCTGACCCTCAGAGATGTGTCCCTTCACTAAGGATGCTGAAACACAGGCTGGGTGATTGTGGGAAAGTCATGGAAATGGTAGAGCCAACTGCTGATAGGGAGGGTTGCGACCTGGCAGACCTGGGTCTGCATCCCAGCTCTGCCAATGCCTGTGTACTTCTGGGAAGATTATTTCCCCTGTACCCTGGGCATCTGTACCAGTATTTCATCTAAAGGAACAAGCAACATATGTAAATGCTTTGCAGCATATGGGCTCTAGAAGCGTTCTGCATTCTGATGTGGTGCAGGGGAACTGAGACAAAGAGAGAGGAACTGACCTCTCAAAGCAAAATAGAGGGGCTGAGGCTATAGCTCAGTGGCAGAGCACTTGCCTAGCATGTGTGAGGCACTGGGTTCAATTCTCAGCACCACATAAAAATAAACAGATAAAACAAAGACATTTTGTCCATCTACAACTAATAAAACAGGCAAAATAGAGAACTGAGAGCAGTCCTACAGAGATGCCAATAAGCCACACAGGTCCAAAGCAACTGGCAGATCTCAGTGGGCTCTGCCCTTGCCATCCTCCTGTCTGAGGAGAGAGATCTCACCAGTTGGTAGCAATGGAGAAAGCTGCCTCTCAGATGTGAGCCTATGACTGAAAATATTGCGGGAAAATTAAGGAGAACAGGAGAGCTGAGCTGGCTCAGCCATTCACTCGGAGTATTTGCCTGTTCTTTCTGGATTAGGAAGAACATCGTTGATAGATATAGGGTCTGCTCTGTGCTTCTCTCCTTTCAGGCTCCTTTCCATTCCCAACCCCTACCTCCAAGCTGGTTAAATTTAAATAATTAATAGTGTCCATAGAAATAGCAACTTTTATTTAATGAAAAATGTTTTTAAAAAAGTTTTTAAAAACATATATATATATATATATATATATATAATAAAAATGACAGATGTCTGGTGACAGTCCCTATTTTTTAAATGGGTCATATAGTTTAGGATAAACCTTGGGTTTTGTGAATCCACTCAAGTCTTATTCCTCCTATATCCTCAGAAAAGTGAAGTTTCCAATGATATTCCAGTCAAGCAGATCAGTAGATACTGTGCTAATTAAGGAAGGAAACTGAATCAATACAGGTTACAAAGATTTTTTTTTTCACAAAATGGTTAAGACCCAAAAGACTCACAACATTAACTTTTAATTTAGTGACCCAGAACATCCAATTATCTATCACACTCTACAAAATTATGTTTAAATATAGTACTCTTAGACTATGTCTTTACAAAGTGAAGGGAAGACAAGGGGAAAATAAAACAATCAATGTGCCCTCCAAATCTAGCCAAAAGTAATAAATTAGTCTCTCCCCTCAGAAAAGTTAACTTAGAAAAGTGGCAGAGAACGTGGAAAAGAAGGTTATAGCTCTTGCCTATGCTAGTTATTCAGCATACAGAACTCCAAAGTCTGAGCAATATCAGTCTAGATGTTAGGAGATGGTAATGTCCCTGCAACAGATGTTCATATTATAAATCTCACATTCAAGCTCATAGACGTGAATTCTGCAGTTCCAGAACCCACTTGGGGGAAGAGTTAAAATGGTAACAAATGTAAAGCATGCTTAGAAAACATTTATGGTCTCTGAATTGTTTTGCTCTTTATATCTTGTTTATAAATACACTGACCTGTAAGACATAGCATATGACAGCTGCCAGTCCAACCCAGCTGTGAAGACTGTACATATTGGGGATACTTTGGGCATTGTGGAAATCAAAAACAGCCACCAGAGCGATAACTGCAAGAATGGTAGCAACACCATTTAACCCTGCATGGATGGATTTCATCAGGAACTTGCTGCATTTCCAGGTCCATGGCAGTCTGTAGACGATGATGGCTAAGGAGACAGAAGGTGTTTTTAAAGAATCAACACAAAATAAACAACTCAACCCAGTAGACACTTTCTTTTGTAAAACCCCTTTCCCTTGGCTTCCACTTCTCACATACTCCTGCCCCTCAGTGCCTCATTCTTGGGCTCCTTTACTGCCATTCTACTCCTGAGTACATGCCCAAAAGAAATATGTACATATGTTCACTAAAAAACACTAGAATGTTACTAGCAGCACCATTTATAATAGTCAAAACCCTGGAAAACTTCCCAATAGCTCATCAATAGAATGAATAAATAAATTATGATATATTCACGCTATGAAATAATACATAGCAAAGAAATGAATGATCTATAATTAGTACTACATCCAACGATAGGAATCAACCTACAAAGCGAATCCCAAGAAGCCAGACATTAACAAGTATATAGTTATGATTCAATTTGTATAAAGTGTAAAAACAGACAAAACTCATCTCTTCAGTTAGAGAAGTCAGTGGTGGTCCTTCTGAGGAAGGGGTACCACAGGCAATGGAACACGCCAGAAAGTCCAAAAGTTCCTGTTGATATTGTTTCTCAGTCTGGATGCAGGTGTTCACTAAGAAAAGATTCATCTATATGTATCTGCATAGAGATTAAACTTAAAATTTTTTCAAAGCCTTTCTACTCAAGAGTCCTGATTTAAGCAATAGATTATACGGCCACCTTATCCAGAATGCAATTAATTTTTGTTCTGAAGAACATATTCTGCCTTTATCCATATCTCTCTTCATGTATTTAAAAAAATTAAATGTGTGGAAATGTGTAGCAGATTTAAAAAGTTTAAAGAATACTTCCTTGATAGATGTATTCCACGCTATCAGCAATTTATCATGCACATTTCTTAATTCTAGCAAATAAAAAAGAATCCTAACTATCAAAGACATTTATAATTTGAATATATAAAACTTCTTAGGATCATATAAATGTAAGGGATTATTCAGTCCCTTCTCAGGCAAAAATACATCTAAACCTACAAAGACAGATGCAAATGCAGCCTCTTTAAAGTTTTCTGCATAAGAGTCATTCTTCCTAATTTTTGGACACTTTTCAACATTTGATAGCCTTCACCATCAGAAAAGTATTCCTTTTATTTAATCCAAACTCTGAAGGACTGCTCCTTACCAATTTCAGTGTGCATATAGGTATCTTAAAAGTGTTGATTGATTATACCTCCTTGATGACATGGAGACTTTGGATAATGAATCTTTTCAAACCAGTAATTTTAATATCTTGAAAAGCAAACTTTTAAAACTAGCTCTAGGTCCCTTCTCACCTCTTCTCCATCTTCTCTGAGTACATTAATGTGTCTTGCTATTTTTCTCTTGAATCAACAGAGCCTATGACAGACCCAGGTTCAAAGAATGTAACTCCATAAGTATTTTTAAAAATCTTATTTAATTGTAGATTCACATGCGGTTGTAAGAAATAATACAAAAAAGATCTCATATACTCTTCACCCAGTTTCCCCCTAAAGTAACATCTTACGTAACTATAGTACAATATCACATCCAGGAAGTTTAGGTGGATATAATCCACTGACCCAAATCAGAGTTCACCAGTTTTACCTTATTTGTACATGACCTATAAGCATTTATAAAAAAAATGTTGCAAAGTACATTCTGTACACTAGTCAAAATCTGGAAATCAAAGTGATGTGAAGTCAAACATTGGTTTAACCACCTCATACTTTTTCTCCCCTGAGGGTTGAGAGCACACCCTATATAATTCTCTAGTTTTCAGGGAGAGCAAATCCTCTTTACCCAATGACTAAGTGACCATTTATCCACAAATGGAGCCTTTTGCAAAATGTGCGATTACACAGTAGTAAAACAAAAATGTGCAATATCTAAAGACATATGTTACACATCTCCCCCCTCCTGGTTTAACCTCATTTGTAACACACACAAACACACACGCACACACACACACATTTGCTAGGGAACAGACACAATGTTAGTGTCTATTTACATTTTAATTCTCACCTCAAATCTCTAAGAAAGGTGTGATTATTATCACTGTTATACAGAGGAAGAAGCTGAGTCACAGAGAGGATAAGCAGTTTGTTCAACCTCAATAAATGCTTTATAATGTTATTGCTAACAGGGCACAATGGTGTGCACCTGTAATCCCAGTTTCTTGGGAGGCTGAGGCATAAGATTGCAAGTTCCAGGTCAGCCTGGGCAACACAGTGAGACTCCATCTCAAAATACTTATATATTATTATCATCACCATATTATCAACCAAGCACCTGCAGGAAGAAATCTTAGGTGAGTGAACTTGAACAGCTATATAAAAGGAAGTATTCAGGATGTGTTTTCTTGAAAAGCAAATTATAACAGTATACCATATACAGCTTTTTCTCTCTTACCTGGATGACAGTTTATCAAAAATTCCCCAAATAAAACTAATTTCTGCGGTTAAAAGTCAGGATTAGCTTCTATAACTAAAAGGAGTTGCAAGGGTGACCAGGGAACCCTGGAATATAGTTTCTTGACCTGGGTACCCAGGTGTGTCCATGTTAGGAAAACACCTCACATGACTTAGGCACTCTTGTGCATGCTGTTCTTAAAAAAAAAAGTTTAAGAAACTGTTGCCAAAAACCCCAAGACCACTGCATTCCCAGTGAAGACTCTGTACTCTTCCCCATGCCTGGGGCACAGGAATGTGTCAAGTTTTTCATAACACGGAAATCTATTACTTTTGAATGTCAAAACTTGATTTTTAAACTTTTCACCTTCACTCAAATATGTTTGTTGTTTGTTTTTCATTTTTTTTTTTTTTTGAGACAGGGTTTCAAAGACAGGCTGGTCTTGAACTCCCACATCAGCTTCCAAGTAGCAAGTTTTACAAATGGGCTGCATACTAGCTTTCTTTCTCCAGCAGTTGCATGAATGGAACCTATTTAATTCCTCATAGATGATGTTAGGTTATTAACAAAACACCAATCATTATCCTATTACTTTAGAAGGAAGATCTCATTTGCTTTTGATCCAAATGGACCCAGACAATTGTGGTTTTAGAGGCCCTGGGTCTATCTTGGGTTTTCCTACCTCTTCTTCTTGTCAGGTTAGGGTGCCTCTCCCTTCCATCACCCAACTCTATGCATCATTCTCACCAGCACTGATTACTGGCATATAGATTTTCATGGTGCCCCAAATCTTAACATCTACTAAATCTGAGTAGCAAATATATGGGGATCTATTATATTATTTTTGGTATGGTTGGAAGAGTTCTTTATAGTTTTAAAGTTAAAACAATATTTTTGTAAGCTTGCAAACCCAGTAGTCAATTAGTCTCAACTGCTCAACAGGCATCTGGTGGAGACTTATGGGCTCTTCCAAGTGAGGCACACAGGATTTTCTGCCCTGGCTACACAGGGGCTCAGATGCACAGATGAATGTGCTTCAAAATGCTCCCTGGATAAGCAAAGGTTCAATGTAAAATCATGCATTTCAATGAGCTGTTTATATGCTTTAAAAAACATACAAACGGCTGAAATATGGTAGACTTTAGGGAAAAGGGCAAGTTTAACAAACCAGATCACATTTCTTAAGGAAGAAGCTATTCTCAACAATTATAAAAACTGCCTGCAGCGTGAAATTTAAATATTTCTTGCTTCTTTGGCTTGGCACATACCTAGACACCATTCCTGAGGCACAATGAGAAGGAAGAAGAGGTCTGCTAAACCCACAAGAAGGAGAAATGGTATAAAACAGCTACTTGTGACTGGAACAAGGGTTATCTGTTGGAGGCTCTAATTACCAAGACCATTTTTTTTCCACAAAAATGAGGGGAAACGTGAATTATATATGTGATAAATACATTTTAAATCTTTTCAAAGAAAAGCTATTGTTGGTGGAACATGCTAGTGTTCTAAACTTAGAAATAAAGGAAGGATTGAAGGGGAAAGAAATTAGTAACTGTGTATAATTATTCTCTAGACAATGAAGAAGAAAATACAGTAACTAGATTTTGAATTTAATTACTGGAAAATTTCTCAGCTCCTAGTTGTATAATCCAAACTCAGAAATATAAGAAAAAACATATTCTTCAAGTAATCTCTGGTTTGGCACCACTTTCTCCCCCACATTATACAACTATATATACAAGTTGGTCTTATGGAAGGTAAGATGAGAATCTATCAAAGTGGGAGCAGATGAGGAAGGAGTGCTTGGAGGGAGAGGAACATCCCCAGACATGAAAAGCACTGTGACTCTAGTTCCTCTTACTTTCTGTCTTGTGATTTATGAGGTAGAAATACACTTATTTTGTTCATCATCACATCCCAGAAGTTGGCATGGAGCCCGGCACACAGTGGGAATTCAGTAAGTATATGTGAAAATGTAAACCTTTTGCAGGGGGAGTATTGGAGATTGAAATCGACCACTGAGCCACATCCCCAGTCCTATTTTTTTGTATTTTATTTAGAGACAGGGTCTCAATGAGTTGTTTAGCACCTCGCTTTTTGCTGAGGCTGGCTCTGAACTCACGATCCTCCTGTCTCAGCCTTCCGAGCCACTGGGATTACAGGCATGTGCCACGGTGCCCGGCTTAAAAAGTAAATCTTTTTTATTTATTTATTTTAGTTGTTGATGGACTTTTATTTTATTCATTTATTTATATGTGGTGCTGAGAATTGAACCCAGTGCCTCACATATGTGAGGCAAGTGCTCTACCAATGAGCCACAACCCCAGCCCCAATGAAAAAGTAAATGTTAATAAAGCACAGTAATCATTCAGTATTCCCAGCAAAACGACAGATCGTCTTTTGATATTATTTTCAAATTTATTTTTTTTTAATTTTTAAAAATTTATCAATGGATCTTTTTATTTTATCTATTTATTTGTATGCAGTATTGAGGATTGAACTCAGGGCCTCACACATGCCAGGCAAGCACTCTACCGTCACTGATCAACAACTCCAGCCCCTCAAACTTATTACAGTCAGAAAAATTATTTGTGATAT